AACAACTAATCAGTGTTGTCACTGGTCTTGAATCTAGGTATCTTCGTGGGGATACTGCTGGCTGAAGGTCTCCTACGAAATCACAGCCATGTGGTTGGCCAGCGGCTTAGTCATTTCATGATTTTCCTAGAACTGAAGAATCTGCTTTCAAACTCACTCACACAGCTGTTGGCAAGCGTAAATAGATCTGCTTCTAATGAATATTGTCATGCCTTGGTTATCTGCCATGAGGGCCTTTCCATAGACTAACTGAGACCTGTCACATCTGGCAATCTGAAAGAGAGGGAAGGAGAGCAGTCAAGATAGAAGCCACAGTCTTTGTGTAAACTAATCTTGAAAGTGACATCCATCATTCCAGTGAATCAATAAGTCTAGCCAGCAGTTAAAAGGAAAGGAATTAAATAAAGCTGTGTATAGTAGAGAGCATGGATCATTGGGAACCACCTTATAAAATTTCTTAACATGAGCTGAGACTTCAAATATGAACTTGTAACAATATCATTAAAGGATTCATATAGAAAGTGGAGTGGTAACCACTGGACCAACAGGGAAACCCCACACATACCCAATATCCCTTTCATTGAAAAAGAAAATTGATCATTAGAATCTGATCTATTCATTTCAGCCCATGGATTGGTTTCCTCTGCATCCAGCCATCTGCAGAGATAATTGTCAGTCTTAGGTCCATTTAAAATTATGATGTTCTGGGGCCAAGAACAGACTTCCATTTTTCTCAGCTCTTAAAGAAACACATCTTTCACTTCACTAATCTTCCTCTCTCTTTACCCTTAATTTTGCCTTAGCTCTTGAAATTATCCTTCATGAATTGTCACATTGAACAACAGCAACAAAAACTCCAAAATCCACTTTGTAAATAAACATAGAAATGACTATGGTCCATGGTAAACAGAAAATTCCTAAGTAATTGTGACATATAATTTATTTGAGGAAATTGACAGAAGACAGTCTTTGATAGTACAAAATAGAATTTTTTTCCTCTCAGTAAAGTGTTTCTCAAATGACTGCATATAAATCAAATACCTACAAATTGAATCATATACCATATGGACTAATGTGGTTAACAATATAAAGGGGATTTTTGGTATAGTCATCTTTAGTATTCACAATGCCATATTTACAAATTTGTCTACTTACTGAAATTTATTTGTAACCTCAAAGTCAATACCTGTGGTACTTCTGCAGTTACTTTCAGACAACACACAGAGCATTGGAAAATTTGAGTTGCCCACTCTCCTCGTTGAAGTCTAAAAAGGTGATGCTCTGCTTTGCTGTTTTATTTCTTTATTGTAAAGAAGTGTCCTTTTTGAAGTCTATTTGGTGCCACATTTCTGCGCCTTTTTATCAGAGATCTTGCCATTTAAAATGGCTCAGAGCATGGAGCTGAAGTGCTATCTTGTGTTCCTAAGGGCAAGAAGTCTGTGGTGTGCCTTCCAGAGAAAATTCATCTGTTCAACAAGCTTTGTTCAAGAATGAGCTATAGTGATGCGGACTGTGAGTACAATGTTAACGAATCAACAGTATGCATTAAGTACAATGCCTTTAGGCAGAAGTACACAGAAGGTTTTTTCAACTGATTGCTGAACGAAAATGTTGTCACCAGAGGCTCACAGGAACCTAACTCTTCATTTCTCATAGGAGCAATAGTTTTAGTATTCCCTAATTTGGGGTTCCCAGAGACTTTGTTGTTGTTGTTGTTTAGTTGCTAAGTCGTGTCTGACTCTTAGCGACCCCATAGACTGCAGTGTGCCAGGCTTCCCTGTCCTTCACTGTCTCCTGGAGTCTGCCCAAGTTCGTGGCCACTGACTTGGTGATGGCATCCAACCATCTCCTCCTCTGCCACCCTGTTCTCCTCTTGCTTTCAATCTTTCCCAGAGGTTCACAGATCATAAAGACTTCCCTGGTGGTTTAGACAGTAAAGGGTCTGCCAACAATGCAGGAGACCCAGGTTCAATCCCTGGGTTGGGAAGATCCCCTGGAGAAAGAAATGGCACCCCACTCCAGTACTCATGCCTGGAAAATCCCATGGATGAAGGAACCTGGTAGGCTACAGTTCGTGGGGTTGCAAAGAATTGGACACCACTGAGCGACTCACTTTTGCTTTCACAGATCATAATTACTGCAGACAACAAAAAACCAACTGTAAACACTTCTTCAAACCAAAGTCCTCTGAAACTTTTATTTTTTGCATTCTGTATAAAGAATCTAATGTAGTCTGGAAAAGTGTGGAGGGGAGCTCAGCTGATTGATTCCTAATGCTTAAATACAGTGGGAGTCTCACTGCCATGTTTATCAAGTAGTCTTGGCTGGGGTTTCAGGCTTCCAGCTTATTCTGACTCTGTCAATCTGTGTCACAACCTTCACGGCAATTAACTTTGCTTTTGTCTGTTAATTATCATTATCCCACTATGTGGCCATTATTGTTCTGAAGTCCTTAGCTTGAAGCTCAAGCATCCATCAGTCACCTAAACAATTGAAGAGGAGGAAGCTGAGAAAGCCTAGTCTGAAAGTCTTTACCTGAGCTTTGTTTCATTACAGTTTATTTCAACAATGAGCACAAAGATCCTCTTGACACAATTCCTTAAAAAGCACTGCTTTATCCAATTGATCAAAGTGAATTTAAACTAGTTTTAAAACCTGGGAAGAGGGTACAAGTTTTGCTTCATATTGAAAGATTTATCCGGATACCAAATACACTAAAAATAAGTAACAACTAATTATAACAGGAAGGTATGTGTTATCTGATTGAAACATTCTTGCCACTGGATGGCCTTAGTCAAGTCATTTAGAAAAAAGAGGGTGGTGTTTAGTCTTTTTAAACGGTCCTGGATGCAAGGCGTAAGAAGAAAATCAAATCACATCAGATGTATCTGCAATGTGTATTTCTTTTCCTGTAATACTCTTCCTTTTTTCACTTTTATTAAAGCCATTTCCACCATACCCTCTTGATGTGTGGGGAAGGAGTGACAGGAGTAGATAAATGCCCTTTCTGGAGTTTTCAGAACTGTTGCATGCTGAGTCTAACCTGATGATGTATTCCAGACATGTCTCCAAAAAGTCAAAAGCATTTTCAGTGTTAATTTCCCTTAAGAGTTATCAGACTCTTTTCAAATTGGTTTAATGAGCATTAAGAGGTGACCTTGTGTCCACATAGATACTCTTGTATTAAAAGACCTGGAAGTAAAATTATTTGGGGGGCTGTATAGGGGGTGAGAGCAGGTCTCTGCTTGGATGCTACCTAGGCTAAATGGGCAGGAGAAATTTTCCATTGCCTTACAATGATGATTACTTGCAAATTACATGAGCACCAGTAATTCATTCACGCACCGATACAGACCCACTCTGTATTAAACTTGCTGTTGGAAGCACTAGTTGATTCTTTTGGAACATTTCCCCCCAGAGAATCCCAATGACAACTTCCCTGAGCAAGAAACTGACACCAAGCCAGTCCCGGATATGCCGGGACACAGGTGTGAGGATGTTGTCATCAAAATAAACCATTCCTGTCTCCTGGCAGGGGCTAGTTCTCCCAGGAACACTCCCCAATCCTAGGAGCTTCAGCGAGAGGCTTCCTTTCTTGGCAGAGGTGGCAAGCAGTGAGCTTCATGTCTTTTCTGTGGAATGGAAAAAAGGGACTGGATTATTTGTTGCATTTTAAACTAGTGGCTGTCTTTCTTGGAAAAAAGTTGGGTGAGGTGCTGATCAAGCTCAGCATTTAATCTGTGACCCTGGTGGTGAAAAGAAAACAAAATGTCTTTCATCATAACATGTAACTGACATTCCATCAGCACAACCCAAATCTGTCTCTCCTGATACATAATGTCTGTTTTACCAACTACTTGATGAAATGTTGGAGCAGATTCTAAGTTTTGATAATTTTCAGTTTCCCAGCACTTACTGGGCTTCCCAGATGGTGCTAGGTGTAAAGAACTCGCCTGCCAATGCAGAAAACTCTGAGACACAGTTCCATACCTGGGTTGGGAAGATCCCCTGGAGGAGGGCATGGCAACCCCCTCCAGTATTCTTGCCTGGAGAATCCCATGGATGGAGCAGCCTGGTGGGCTGCAGTCCATGGGGTCGCAAAGAGTCGGACATGACTGAAGTGACTTCGCACGCATACACATAGCACCTACTAGAATACCTAGTGCGAAGAGTTGAAGGAAATGATGAAAACAAAATATCTAAATTTGAAATTCAGAAACACTGTTAAGGGAGTTTTGTCCAAAATCTTCATAGAACTTTGAAAATTGCTTCAATTTGTAGTCTCCTTGGGAGAATGTGACAGCTTGCTTTATTCTTTTTTTTTTTTTAATTTGGTTTTGAGTACAAAATACCTCTTTTCCTCTGAACATGTTAAAAGTACGCATGCATACATAGGAATATTTCCCTGGAGAATTACTGGCCAGGCATTTTTGTCACATATTTTTACTTGAAAACATATATATTTTTATTTTTAATTGACTAGGTGCAGAAAAATAGTCAATCTAAAAATAATTACAAGTCATGCTTCTGTCAGGAACACAAAAGCCTTCAACATGAGCAGAAACAATTCATTTTAACTATTTATTTGCCATGGAATATATTTGCATTATCAACATCTCCATTTGCAAAAGTACCACTATTCGAGAAACACACCACAGGAAGAGGAGGGAAAAGCTGACAATTTCTTTCCAAGTTTAAGCAATCAAGAAATCTGGGGGGGGGGGGCGGGGGGAGAACAAAATCTCCTTTCCTTAGCATTGATTGCAGCAGCAAGGAAAGCCACAGCATTTTAAGTGGTGAAAATTTTGACCACAACAATGCCCACTGCCATGTCTGAATCTGCCCACTTCCTGAATCAGAATTAAAAACAAAAACAAAACAAACAAACAAAAGTGTGTGAACTAACCAGGCAGCTGCATATATTGGTAGGAGTTGGGTGTTTGCTTACTACAGTAGTTTAAAAATAGTTTTCCAGTTAACATCTTTTCCACATAATGGAGATGTCAGGGTAGGTTTACTTGATTGTGTAAATGGTCAGAAGTTGCTTATGTAGCTCTGAACTGCTGAGCGAAGCTCAGGAAAACCGGAGTTCAGCAAAGCCCCTGGGGTTTTTTTCCCTGGGAGAGGAACCCGGGCCCTCTTGGGAAGGCTGGGAATGCAATCCAGATGAGTTTGGGTCGGCTGGCTTTCCTCTGCCTCCCACACTGTCTTTGCACAGGGTTGTTGAGACGCTGGGCATTGCTGCCAATCTCTACGGTTACCCTGAGGTTTGGAGTTGGGGTGAAGAGAGCCAGTTCTGCGAGAAAACAGTAGATGCATACTACAGAATGCCCATGGTAACGTCATTGTCTAAGGCACATGTTTCTGAATAACAAAGCTTTCAACGTGCCCACACCGCAAATCGATCCTTGTGCCTATTTCATCGCAACCCTTTCCTCTCCAACACACACAATCCGGCTGGAAAGCCCGCTTGTATGGGGGAGACTCCAGGTCGGTTACACTGCCGGTCTGGCCAATGTCCTCCTCCTGAGGACAGGTAGGATAAACCTTCCAAAAGCCCCTTCTTCAGGCTTCATAAGTTGAATACCGCGCCCCCCCCCCCCTCGCACCCCCAATCCTTCTGAACTCGGCAACTCTTAGACCCAGAGCAAAAGTGTGTCCCTGGCCAGGGAGCCTTAATGAGACCCTATGTTTCCCGGAGGCCAGAGGTTTGAGTACCCGGGCGGGTCGCGCCTCCTTGAGCCCCCATACTCGGGAGAAAAAGAAGGCGGCATCGATTTGGTTTATTCCCCGTCGCTAAGCAGCATGTCCTCTGCGCGCCCGCACGGGAATGGGCTTGATGGTTCATCGGCTGACCGGGATTCAGGCGAGGCACCGTGTCACATCTCTGCTCCCGGGCACCGGGGCCCTTCTCCCGCGGGCAGGGCCGGCGGGTGCAGCGCCCGCAGGTGCGGCGCCGGGGCGCGCGCCTCCACCGGCCGCGCACTGAGCATGCTCAGTCCCTGCGCGCCGCCCCCGCCCCTCGCGTCTCCCTCACGCGTCTCCCCCTCCTCCGGGGCTGAGCGGCCGGCAGCCTGAACTCCGCGGCGCCGGGTTTTTGGAGCAGCCGCGAGCGCGAGGAGGGAGGGGAGCGCGGCTCCAGGCAGAGCACCGGGTTCAACACCGGGATTGGTCGCAAGTAGGAAGCTTTCGCCACTACTCTGGGACCCTCGGTCTGTGCCGGCGCCGCACCCGAAGCTGAGGCGGGAGCCGCGCTCAGGTGCTCAGGTAAGTGAAGCGCGCGAGCTGCCCGGGTCCCTCTCCAGCCTCGGTGCGTGCTGCCCTGGGCACCTCGAATTCGGAGAAGGAGCGCGGGTCTCGGAGGCTGCCCAGTTTAGAGGGGGTTCTTCGGGGGCGTCCCCTCCTGCAGGGCTGGACGGGGGCTGTGGGCCGAGCCGCCGTGGGCCCGGTCACCCTGCGGGGTCGGGGCAGCCGGCACCGTGCGCCCTGAACCCGGGAGGAGCCCGGGCACCGACGCCGCCACGCAGTCACCTCACCGCAACCCTTGTTTTTGGTCAGAAAATAAGTTTGTTGCGCCGGAAGGCTGCCCCGAAGCAGGGAACCTAGAGCCGGCAATGCTTCAGGAACCCTTAAAATCAGCTCCTGCAACTGGTTTCAGGCTATCGTCCCCTTTCCGCGCGCCTTCGCCGCTGGCGCGCGGTTCTCAGCGGGAGTTTCCCTCAGATGTTCCCCGGGGCTCCGAGCGCCCAGCTGCAGCCACAGGAGAGGAAGGCGAACTTGGGCTGAGATGTGAAGGGACTTGGGACTGAAAGGGCAAGATCCCGTAGCCGTAGTGGAAGAAGTCTTGTGAGAAAGGACACTGTTTTTTGTTTTTTTGCGGGGGGTGGGGGGCGGCCACTGTGCGCCAGACTCAGTGTTGAGCATTGGAGGTACAGCCACGAGCCACATCCACCGGGTCCCCGCTGTTGTGGAACCTAGCTGATGTACCCAGACTCTGCGGGAGCTTGTGGGGCGGCGTTCGTTTACCTGCAACTTCAGGGGGGTTCGCAGTTCCTTTTGAAAGGCGAAGGCAACCCCCTGTTCTCTTCCTCGGAACCAGACATCAGCGAGATGTGCGCCGGGCACCCTGCGGACACCAGCCGGCTCGCTCTCCTTTCGAAACGGAGGGCTCGAGCCATGCGTGCATTTCTTCTCCTTGGGCTTCGCGAATATATTTCATTGCTTATGAAAGATGTGGAGGTGAGGTTTAGGAGGACGTGGGCTCTTGAATCTCTCAGAACAAGTCAGGGCGTCTGATACGTGAAAACATTTTGCAGCACAGCGCAGCTCCTGCAAGGAGAAGGTTTAGCTCAACGCGAAGCTTAGGAGATTGGTGGTTGACTAGGGTCTTCAGATTAGGAGCGAAGAGTCTTGCGGGGGTGGTCTTAGGGCGAGTTAGTGTGGCAGCTCACCCTGGGTGGGTGGTCTGCGTTGGAGGTGTGGGTGGGTCTTGGGTTGTGTTGAAGGGTTGTTTGCATGGAGGAGCTCCTGGGAGGAATTCTAGGCTCCTGGAACTTTTTCTAGTTTTCCTACTGGAATCAACAGAGAGGCGGGGACATGTTTGTCAGAATAACAGCGTCCTTTAATTGCATGGGAAGCTCCTGCAGTTTACTGTGAAGTGGATATTTCATGTAATAATTCCATATTTGTTTGGAATGTGCATTTATTATGTGCTTTGAAGTTTATGGTTTAAGTCTTTTAGGGAGAGGGGCAAGTGCATGAAGACTACATTTCCTTGCAGCCAAGTCCACGCAGTAGCATCGCCAGTCCAGCTGATTAGCAAGTTTTTTTCTCTGCCTCTGCCCAAGTGAGCAGAAAAGAACGTTGTGTCATGGGGGTAGACACCTTGAGGTGGTTTTGGTGGCTTGATGAGAAAACTCACGTTTCACTCATAACTTTATTCTTCCTGCCTTGTGTGAGTCAACACAAGAGGTGATGAAAGTATAAGATTGCTGCTAAGGATCCAAAGTAAAGTTCCATGGGGATATTATTTTTTTTGCCATCTCATAAATTGCTCTTGATTTTGTTTATTTGTTTAAATTGGCTTCAGCTGCTCTGGCTTGGTGAGGTGGGATCATGATGGTAAGCCTCATTATTCATCAGAGTGGACCCTCCAAGTTTGCTGGCTAGCATGAAAAACGGACCTTTTAAAATTAGGGGCTGAGATGGTAGGAGGAGTGAGGGTGCAGATCAGAGGCACTTGGCAATGACAAAGAAAGCAGGTTTCCTTGTTTGCAGCCTTTTTATAAACACTTCTCACTTCTTTTAACCTGGAGGAATTTTTCTTCTCCCGTCAGTTTGTTGCCCCCTTCCCTACTCATTTCATATTGGTAGGTCATATGATAGGAACAGCAAAATATTTCTTAAATGACTGAATGACATAGTTTCTCAATCAGCAAAGTAGACTGCCTTGTACAGTAAAAATGTGTGCAGTGATATCGGTGCATTCACTAACATAAAAAAATAAACAACTGGGATGTCTGTGGCCAAAATAAATGTGGGTTTAGAAAATACATTATGCTGGTTGATATTTTTTCCAGCAAAAATTAAAGATCTTTTTAAAGGAAAAGAGTGAACGGAGAACAAGCTTTTCAAATAATGTTAGCTTTAAAAAAAAATCATCCTCTTATTTTGCTTAATTCTCTTTTTTATTCAGAAGTAGATTTTAGAATTTTTTTTTCCCCACTAAGCACTTTATCTTTTAACTATAGTTTTTTTTTTTCTTTTTTTTTTTTCCTGAAAGGTACACAGGACATCTGTTACATCAGTTTAGGTCTTATAAAATGAAGGTAACCTGGATAAGTAAACTTCTCAGTGGAAGACTCCCCTTTATAGTTCTGACTTTTCCCCCCAGGTTTGTATGGGCATGATTTTAATGCGTTGGATTCTTCTTTGTTTTCTTTGAAGACATAGACATAATATACATTTGTTTCAGTCTTTTTTTTATACAAATAATTTAATCTTCTATGAAAACATGCTTCTATATTATTTTAATTAATCTGTTTCATAAGTTAAGTGGAAGATGTCTGTATACACAGATGTGGAGAGTTTTGTTGTTGTCAGTTTTTCCACAGCCCAGGGTTTTAAGTCTGGTGAAGGAAAGCAGCTTTATTAACTTAGACATATTGGTCTTCATATTTTTTGATTAGGTACTGTCAGAGGACATTTGACCATAGATCATTAGTTATTTATACATTTCACACATACACTGTTATGTTGATGTACTACTTATAAAACATACCCAGAAAGAAACCGAAGGATAAATAAAGTAAAAAATTATGAAACAGTTGTTCAAATATTCTTTTCCTGTATTCCAGTGGATTGTTTTGCACAGCCCCTAGGGTGTATGCTTTGGAGATCACTGATGGTTTGGGATTGTTTTACCTTTTTCTCCTTATTTGTACCTCTGTCATCCATCATCTATGATACTGTAGTCAGTTGCAGAGCTGATAGGAAGGTGTAGCTCCTGTAACAGGGGAATTAGGAACCTTGTTTCTGTGCCACGGACTCACATGTGGATGAAATGAGGCATAAGAGACGAATGTGACCTAGGGATCATCCTAGATCTCCCAAATTGGATATACAGATAAAAAATATGAAGTCTTAGTTCAAAGACTAATGTTCTAGTGGTTAGAAAGTGAGGAAACTAAGGAATAAATGAGTAAAGGAAGGAAGAATCCTTTTTGTGTTGTGGTATTTATTGTGTGGGGGGTGGAAAGCCCATTTACCTTGGCGCAGATTAACCTGGACCTAAATGTGGCCGTACCACTTATTATAGTCATGATATTGGACAAGACAATTGAATAACTTCTGTGAACCTCTGTTCCCTTAGCTATAAAATTGGGATGACGTTTATTTCAATGCAGCATGGTAGGTATTATACACAGGAGTATAGGTAAAGAGCTTGACTTTATTAGATTGGGTAGATTATGAATGATAACAAATGAAGCAAAGTGTACAGCTTTAGATGAAACAAATATATTTCTCATTCATATAAAGTTTCAAAATGGGTGATTCTGACAGCATTCCTCCAAGATGTGATAGGAAGATCGAGCCTTAATACATTCTGTGTCCCTGCCATCTTCAGCATGTTCATCTATGTTCATCTGTAGGAAGGAGAAAGACTTGCAGGATGTTAACTGCCCAGATGTGGAAGTCATACATATCACTTTTGCCTTCATTCCGTTGGCCAGAACTCAGTTATATATGTGTGTATCGTACTCTAAGGGAGTCTGGGAAATGTAGTTTAGCTGTGTTTTCAGGAAGAGAAGAAAGGTTTGGGGGAACAGCCATCATTGTCTGGCCTCCTGTTATTGTATGTGATTATTTCCCCATGCTCAATGAATGTTCCTTCTCCCTTCTCCTTCTCCCTTCCCCCACCCAACTACTGGTTTTCTGGCAGAAAAACTGGAGTAGATATAAGAAAATGATAGAAATAGCTTACACAGATAGTGTGTATTATTTTTGAGGTCCTTTGCTAAGGTGCTCCCCCATGGGAATTATTGTGTGAGAAATTAAATCATTTGCTTGGCTTACCCAGCAAGTGGCAGAGCTGGGATTTGAACCACATTGTTTGACTCTAGAATTGCTTCTCCTGGAAGCTTCACTATTTTTGTTGTTGTTGCTGTTGTTGTTCTTGCTGCAGTGTTTTTCTTATTGTAGCCATTGGACCAACTTTCCTTTTTGTCTATTTAAAAAAGGTGCTGAAAATTTTTTAAAATCCTAAAGAAGTTAAAATACTGCATCTAATTGAAGATATACTGAAGCAGAATTATATATGACATTGGTTTATTTTTAATACCTACCAGCATCAGGAGCAGATAGTTAAAGGAAGACTCCACCTCCTCCATTACAGTGCTTTTTCACTTCTGATAAAAAATTCTAGGATCTGTTTAACCTTTCTTTTAAGCTTTCATTTTGGAAATCCTGGCCTATCACTTTTATGCTGCAGTGTGTGAAGATAAATTCCTGTTCATTTCTTAGCCTAAGCAAATATCCCTTCTGGTAAGTTCACAACTGAAACATCCTCTCCTAACCTT